TGTGACTGTGTGCAGGGCTGTGTTCAGTGTGCTGATGTGCTCTCTGCTGTCTACAGGATGCTACAAGATCACCACGGTGTTCAGCCACGCGCAGACAGTGGTGCTGTGTGTGGGCTGCTCCACAGTGCTGTGCCAGCCCACGGGAGGGAAGGCCCGGCTGACAGAAGGTCAGTGTTGAGCGGTGTGTGTTCTGGGTTCAGGGTTCAGTACCTGTTTAAAGCTTAGTTCTGTGGACCCTCAGACTGCTGTCTTAAGTTTCCTCAAGGGGTAACACAACTGACTATCTGAGAAAGTCACACACTGTGTCTGTCCAGGGCTCCTGCAGTGTGTGTGTGTGTGTGCTGTCAGTGAGAGTTGTCAGTCCTCAGCTCTGCTGAGTGGAGGAAGAGCTGGTATCCCGACAGTGTGGGTGTCAGGAGGAGGAAAGGGATGTTACCTTTATTTCTCCTGCGCTGCAGCAGTGGGGAGACCAGTGGGTGGAGGGCTGGGGGTTATAAATGTGAAGCATTGTGGGAATGCCCTGTCTCTCTCTCTCCAGGCTGTTCGTTCCGGAGGAAGCAGCACTAGGTGGCGCTGTGCGGCAGTCCGGCGCGGGGAGGGCTGGGCCGCTGGCACAGTGCGCGCTCCTCGCCGCGGGGCCTCGTGCTGCCGTCCCCATGGCGACACGACGGACAGGCCAGGAGGAGGAGCACCTCTCAGGACGGTCACTGTATCTGTAACCCCAACCCACCCCGCTACAATAAAGGTTTTTCATTCCGGAAGAGCTGGCGCCTGTGTCGTTACTGGCTGCTGCTGCGCGCGTGTTCAGTGGGCGGCTCTGGGTGCTCGTGGCGCAGGGCGGCTGGGGTCAGTGGGCAGGTTAAAATGAACCACATCTGCAGCCGACTTGCTCGAGCCTTTATTGAGCTGTAGTGACCGGTGTGCTGCACTAGGGGTGAGGGGTGTAACTGGGGTCACCGTGTGCTCCACAGCCAGTGTCGTCGGCGGGGCGTCCCGTCTGTCAGCTGTGTCCACCTGTCCCAGTAAGGGTTCCTGGTCAGGACGGCGTCCCCTGCAGTACAGAGACCC